TWAGAGAAAGGTTTCTCCTAAAAGCCCTGGGCATCTCCTTTCTCCTAAATATTTAGCCTTTACAGGTGAGGATTTCTGGCAAGCTTCCTAATGTCACCTGTAGCATCACAGATCCTGGTGATGCATAATCTATATTTGAGAATACCTGCTGCTTTTGCGGTCAGACCTTAATGAATGGCTGAAAGCCTCAGATAGATTATTTTTATACTCCTAACTACCATGATTCATCCATTCTATGCTCCAGGGAGAAAAACAGGAAGGAAATAGTAAGACCTCGATTTCGTTTAACATTGGTAATGAACGTCAAGCAAGCTGTGGGAAGCAGAAAAAAACCAACCTCATTCCAGTTGGAGTGGCATTTAATAAAACTAAGTGACTCTGGAAAAATAAACTCAGGAGGTGGGTGGCACATGGAAGGACTAATTTGTGTTAATTAGAAGTTGTGGAGGAGGAATATTTTGAAGGGGGAAGCAGATTCGGAATTTCAGTGAACAATGTGATAAATACTAATTAGCCAATTATTTCTCCATAGTGGCAAGCAGCTTTCAACGCCATTTCTTCTTCTGCAACTGTCACGCCTCCTGTTGAGAGGCTAAGATGCACCCCACACAAGCCTCAGACATAACTATTCTGGCAGGACCAGCTTGCCTCCCAGCACTATCACTTCTTTTATCTTGCATTTGGTGAGGGCAAAGGAAAAGGGAACAGGGGCTGTTCCAGAGAATTGGGTTATCTAAATTAGATGTTTAAACAGAAAAAATGGGAGAGGCTAACCTGCTGAGCAAAAAGCTCAACAGCCTTAWGAGAAAGACTAGAAATAGAAACTATTGTGGACATCCCAGCTCAAGATCAATTATGTCWTAAGGCTGTCTCTATACAGATTGTTATCTTTTTGCCCAACATACAAACGTCYTAAAACTTTATTAAGTACTTTCAGAAAGCACAGCATCCAGTAATTCTTGTTATGGGGAAAAAACAAAATAAAAAACCAAAGCCAGACTAAACACTGATTATCAGGAGAGAAAGGAGGGAGGGAAAGACAGAGATATACAAAATTCAGAAGACAGTGGTTAGCATCATCTTATTAAGGCTGCAAAGGTAATATCAAACACCAACTGACCTGGAGAACCATACTCATGTCTTGGTAACCTACAGATCTTAGGCATCACTTCCATTAGGGTCTTGACATATTGAAGAATGGTCCCTTGTAACTGTGAGAAAACAGATGTGTGTAAACATGTCAGTGTTGTAGAACTAGRAAACTTTACAACAAATTGCATTCAAACTATACATGAACTGAAACAGCTCTAAAAATCTTGCATTTAATTCTGACAGTCACCATCTTTAAAAAGGCAACTTCTTCAAATTAAAAGAACTGCACTTTCCTTCATGTGGCATTAGCCACCTTTGCTGCAAGAGGAGTGGCACAACAGCTAAGGCCAGGAAGGTACAAAAGAGGAAAACATGGYTTTATCCTACAGAGCCTTTACTGTCTAACTAACATTTAAGGTTTTGGTAAAAGAGTTTCATTTGAATACTTTCAAAACCATTCAAAAAGCATTTGAATGCTTTCAAAAGCAACATGAGAAAAAAACTTTATGATTAAGTATGGCTGTAACTGCCCCAACTGGTTCTTCTGGTCACAGCAGTTGAGACAGTTCCAGCCTCCAGTCACAGCCTGTCTTCCTATCACACCTCTTATCYGTCCCCTTACACCTGAGCAGGCATTGGCAGGATACCCTCCCCCAAGCCCTTCAACCTTCTTCATAAATGACCAAGTGTTCAATGCCACCTTTAATGAATTGACACAACTTACTACTAAGTTAAAAAAAAAACAAACTCATAAAACACAACAAACCAATGCTTGATGCTCAAACCCTGAAAAATATACATATTTTCCTCTTTCTCTGAACATTAAACTACAGCACCACTTCAAGCAGGAKTCACCCTTTCTAGAACACCAAAAATGTACTTCAAACATTGTGGGAATTACTGTAAACAAACTGCCAAATGTGTCAAGTGCCTGCAGTATGATTACGAATACCACAGCTTCCCTAGTACACTTGGATTATTTTGGCAGCATGCTCCTACAAGCAACAGGGAGGAAAATATAATTTCTTTGGCTTAAATTAACTGCAATGCATAATGGCTGTATATATAGATTTTAATAGCATTGCAAACAGCCAGCGCCTCAATTCCTCCCAGTTACAAAAAAGGCCCTTTCCAATACAGGATACCCAGGCTGTATGGATAATGTCTTCAAAACTGGCCTGAGCAGAATTGCTAACCAAGCACAGAGGTTAAAYTCTCCTGTTGTTAAGGAGTCATCTATCAATGATGTCATTAATGATAGCCCTGAAATTAGGTGCAGGCAGAAAGCACACCACAGCTATTCTCAAAAAACATCAAGGAAGTGAATGTACAGTATGGTCTTGAAGCTGCAATCAATCAGTTTGAAACATTCATAGTTTTCCAGAGCCTGCCTGGGCCCTAAAAAACTAAATTAATCTCCAATGAAGAACCCAAAGTTTTCAAAACACTGCTCAGGACATGAAGGCACTTCTTGTATTGCTCACACAAGACACCGAATACTGTCAAACACAGCTTTTATTGAACTTCAATGGAAGTAATTTTAATTTTTTCTATCCAGGATCTCACTTTCACTTTGTTTTCCTTGAGGCATTTCCTATTATAAATCATCTAGACTAGCAGAAAAATAAAGACAATTAGCATACCAGGCTCTTGACAACTTTCAGCAACTCCTCCATCACCACAGCAATGCCCTGATATCCAAGAAGTCTACAGATGACTTTAAAGTGAGGGGGACCAACAAAATTCCTGTAGTTGCTGTAAATACTGGAATATGCCAAATTCAATGCCTAAAACAAGAAAACAGATATGATTAATGAAAAYGTCATGTGCCTGTATCTCAATATCAATGTCATTTACAGGGCAATTAAAAGCACATTAAAGCTGAAATAACTGTAGCCAACTGTCTCAGAAGGAAGTTTAAATACAAAGTTTCACTTTTGTAAGACAGGAACCAAAGTCTATTAGCCTGACAAATTTGTGAACACTTTTTTTTTCAACCAGACATCTTCCATTGATCATTTATATAGCCATAAGCGCTTTCTCTTTTGTACTTTTCTTTTCATACAAGCATAAAAGGGTAAAAGTAATCAGTGTCATGTCCAGATCCCTGAATTTAAAGCACAGCTGCTACTTCTGCATCTTTCATTTTATGCGCAAAACATCTTGAAAGAAATTACTTCAACTTTCTGTTCATAATAGGTGTTTTAAATCTGTGAGTACTCAACTACAAAAAAGGTCTTCTGCAGTTACTGCTCTCTGCAGCTCATTAATAAGGATCTTTCTTTTTCATACCCCTTTGCTGCACACAAGATCAAAGCAAATCTAAGTCTGGGATTTAACCTCTTGGAAATTCTACAAGACTTGTGTGAATGGGACCAGGTGCTTTGCCACATGAATGTTTATTTCTATCAAGGTGGACACAGCAGTGCAGACTGATGTGATGTGGGGGTTTACTGAAGCTGCAGATTAGAGAGGTGTTGGCTTACTTAGCATGCTCCATTTCTGCAAGTGGGTTGTTCTCCTAACACCCTGAAATTTAATTTAAAGCAGGAATCTTGGCCACCTTTCTTACAGAAGGGGCTGTTGTGTTTCCTTTAATTTTTTGTAGGTTTATTCCCTCTAATACACACATGGAAAACAGCACACTATTAAACTTTCAACTTCACACACAGATGAAACAGAAAATTTTCCAGGAAGAACATTCTCTTCAATGCAGATCCTGCCCTAATTACCCATGCAAGTCAACACCAGACACTGAAATACATGGCATTAAACTACTAGGAATTCATGTCACAAAATTCTACCAAGCTCTTGGAGGATATTATTCTCACAAAAGGATTTAAAAACAATCTTTAAAAGCAATCAGGATAGAAAGTGCACATTTTTAATTTACGTTGTATAGCTTTATATACACACCAGTTTCCAACTGAGGTCTTAGAAATTTAAAAAATGTATTCTAGATGAAAACTAAAGTAGACACTTGGGTAACTATTAGAATYCTAGCACATAACAGTCCTGCTGTTACATCAGAGCTGGCTAAAAGGCCAAACTGCAAATGTGTCCCAGCAGGGGACAGCCTAAAGCTCTATCCCTCTTAGTACAACCTGTGCATTTTCATAGCTCTCCACATACAGAAATGGGGTCTGGGGCAAACACAGCAGAGAGAACTACTAAAACCTTATGAACATATGTGCAGATGATTGTCCTAAATACTAAGGATTTATACAATTGCCCCTAAAAGATGGGATTTCTTTTTTTGCTTTTTGATGTTTTCAATTAGGTAGGTCTTCAGAGCAAACATGCCAGAACAATCTATTTCAGTACAGCACAAGCAGAATTTTACTTTAGTAGGTTAAAGCTTTTTACTGCCTTAAAGGTTAAGGGGAGGGAACCTCTCTTCACACAGCAGAAATCTGCCATAGAAAACAAAGCCTGAAAAACACRATTTCAGTATTTTAATAACTTGCTAATAATAAGAAGAAGAAGAATAAGCCAGCCAATCTAAAAATACATCTTTCTTACACGTAGACCTCATGGGGAAGTCCCTAAAATTTACAGCCCACCTGTAACACTGGATTAGTGGATCTTTCTAAACTGTGACAAGGGATTTGGAAAACACCATTACACACCAACAGCACTTCCCACCCAATAAGGCACAAAAGCATAAAATCCTAAGGGAAGAAGTCACTGATAAGAGGGGTTGGGGGTGGAGAAGGAGGGAAGTTGCTGTTCATTATTTTTTAAGCTATACTCGCTCCCTCCCCTACTTAAATTGAAAAAAAAAAAAAAAAGAGTTGTTGCTGATGTCATCAAAGTGCTAACATTAATCACTCACAGCATCACTGGTCTACACACAAGAGTATATAACAGGGATCCTCAGGCAGCCTACTGCCAAGAGGAGGCAAGCAAGAGAGGGGGGAAAAGACATTCTTTTTTTCTCCTGTGTGGTCTTTGAAAAGCAAGGCAACAGCATCTTTAGACAAGATGTGCTCTTGCATCAATTTAAGTGAAAGAGACAAAGAAACCATGCCACCAGCAGCATCGGAGAAAAAACCTGAAATCACCGAGCAATGAGAATTCAGTCCAGACACTCTGAGGAGAAGAAAAAGCAAACTGGCAAACAGAGATCAGTCAGGAAATACTTCATGTAGAAAGGGATACAAAAAATTTGATGTTTGTAACATTTTCACAGCAGAATCACCGTAAAGAAATTCTGTCCCGGAATTTCCATCAGGGAGTGACGGTAAGTACTGACTTATGATCCATAAAACATCAGATGGCTTTTCCAAACATTTGCGTGTCAGTAACTGTGCATTTTCTAATAACTGATGTTTTGTAAAAATAGAAATGCATTATTGCTATTTAATTATAATTCCAACATTCTACTTAAAAAATGCTATGAGCATTAAACTGTTGAAACTTGTTTCTAGGCTGTTTCTAGGAAGTGTTCTATAAAAAATATATTATAATTTTAAGTAATAGGGATCCACCAGCTAAAGAGAAAGTAACTGAGAAAGTAAAWCCTCTGATCTCACTAATGCACCCTATTTTAATATCTGCAGTAGTTGGGTAGATGCCAAAATGTGTCTGTTTGATAGGTTTTATCTGATAGCAAACTCAGTTCCTTTATATTGTAGCTCTGTTAAAAAGGGTGCACTTGCCACACAATTAAAGAGCAGCATCTACCCAGATCAGTCATACCCATGGTTTTACACTGCAATGAAAATAAACATATTTTTYTTCCCACTTCCCAGGAAGTATAATCCAAGCCTTGAGCAACAATTTTCATACATAAACAGGCACAGGATTCTTGCTATTAATGTAATGTCACCGTCTAAATTCCATTAAAATAATATGCATTTTCCCAGTCTCCTATCTAATACAAAAGACAAGTATTACAGAATAATTTCAGAATATGTTATGAGCAAATCTTACAAACTTTCTTCCTCAGAAGAATTTTCAATAATTAATTGTTGTTTATCTACAAAATGCAACATTTTAAACCTGACCTTAAAAGAAAAAAAATTATAGTTGATTTTCGTAACAAAGTCATAAACAATGAAACACAGTGTTATTGTCAYGGGCATTTACAGTCATTAAAAAAGTGAGAAACTTTCAAAGTGTAAAAAAACTTCCATGAGTGCCACTGAAAACTGATGATTAAAATAAGAAATAAGATTAAATTGCTGAGGTAAGCTCTTTTTCAAAAGTTACCACCACAACAGTAAAAGCATCAAACCCAAGCAAAAAAAAATTAAAATACCCACTGGTTGTTTTTATGTATTCTTTACTAGATGTGTTTAGAAAAYTGCAGAAATTAGATGTTTTCATTTCACTATTTACTGTGGTAACACACACAGAGAATCTCAAAATACTGGCAGATTTTCTAATTTGAATTGAGGATGAGGAGCAGTATAAATTCAGGACAGACGAACCACACGATTACATAAAATCACTCTGAACAGCAAAGAGTATTAGTAATTTTTTTAAATCCCCACTATTTATCCAAAAGGTAGGCTACAGTGAAAGCTGCATTTCACTCAGCTTAACTTGAGAAAAGGTTTTCCACCAGGCTGAATAGCACCARGACTAAATATTTTGATGCTGATACCACCAATGTATGGCGTTCACTGCCACTGCCGCAGTGTAGCTGCAATGGCTACAGATGTGCAACTCATCAGCAAAGCATGGAGAATATCAYAGATTCACACAGCAGTTGGGGTCAGAAGGGACCTTAAAGATTGTCTTGTTTCAGCACCCCTGCCAAAGGCAGGGACACCTTCCACAGCTTCTCTGGGCAACCCATGCCAGCGCCTCACTGCTCTCACAGTAAAGAATTTCTCCCTAATATCTAGTTTAAATATACCCTCTTTCAGTTTAAAGTAATTCCTTGTTGTCCTATCACTATCTGCCTGTGTAAAATGTCCCTCTCCAGCTGCATTATCAGTCCCCTTTAGGTACTGGAAGGTGCTGTATGATCTTCTGGGAGTCTCCTCTTCTCCAGGCTGAACAGCCCCAACTCYCTCAGCCTGTTTTCACATGTTCGAATGTGTACTTGTGACTAAGAAACTAACGCAAGGTATTGGAGACAAAATAATACCTGGTCATGTCTCCACATACTATTTTGGTTTTCAATTGATTGTGACTGGCAAAAATAAAAACTTGTGGGTGGTTAGAGGCATTTATCACTCAATAGCCACTCCTGCCAACCCCACTCTTGCTACTTAACAAAAAATGCAAGATATTCAGACTAGAGAAAAAAGCAACTGTTGCAATTTTTTACAATCACCTAGGGAAAAAAAAAAGTGAAAGGAAATGATTCCCCAATTGCAAATTTTGCAGAAATTAATCATCTCTTAAGATACAGCTGGTCACTTTTACAGGCAGCAGCTCTGGTTGAATTTCTCTAAGTTTATGTTTATCCTTTCACTTGGAAGAGAAATACCCCAAACTTTATGAACTTTCATTCCCATTTTTATACTGCAATACCAAAGATGAGAGCATATTTTCCTAATGAACTCCATTCCTACATTACAGAACACTGTGACTGAGATCCACACAACATTCCTCAGTGCGGCAGCTTCTCAATTACCTCCTGCAAACACCTTCCCTTTCCACAGGGAGATCAGCATCAAGAGTAAAAAACATCCGAGCAACATCCTGATGGGAATAACCGTCCAAAACATCACCGGAAACACGGCAATGGTAATTTGGCCRAAAATGGCCGGCTGCGTGGACAGCTTTTACAGCATCATGTACCACCCTAACTGGAACAGCATGCTATCCAGCTACTCCAGAAAGAGCTTCCAGAAGGAAGAGAGGGTGCCCACYACTCGCTCCTCCTTTGTTGTTGAGAACCTGACTCCCCTCACGACGTACATCATGTGCGTGACCTGCCAGTCCGCAAACCCCTCCAGYGACCAGTGCAGAGTTTTTAACACCCTGGAACGAGACCCGGCATCTGCGAGCAACACCAAGAAGGAGCTGGCACTGGGCATCTGGCTCACCAGCAGCGTGCTGCTGCTCATCATCGCTGCAGTGCTGCTCTACGGCTGCCTGCACCTCCTGTGCCGCAGGCGACGCGAGCGCTTGCAGGAGCACAACGGGAGCTCCAAACAAGAGCACRGGGAGCCATGGACCAAAAGCATGGTGTACGCCTCGGAGGAGTCAGAGGAGTCCAGCAGGCACAGCCAACAGACACGGGACACTGAGGAAAAGCATCTGAGTGGCWTCCAGCTGGCCACAATCATAGAGAATCCCTCAGTGTGCAATGAGCCAGTCCTGCCATCTTCTAAAAGTCGGGAATGTGTCCCAGTAACAGGACAGTGCTCTCCTATAAATTAGWAACCTTTGGGAGCGAGAAGATTTTTGCCACGTACAGTACCCTGACTACTTCAAACACACCACATGCACTGGTGGTGGTCACAACAGGGAGCTCTGATTGCTCACTGCAGCACTCCTGGCTGTACTTCTGATGTCRCACTCCTTTCCAGCAGCCTGTAGGCATCCAGAGGTACTCAGAGGCAGCGGTTCACCTGCCCAAGAAGTGAGCATTTCAGCCACCCTCCATTATTCAAACATGAAGCATGTAGCAAGTAATTGGTTTACATTTCAAGGGGAGTTTTTCATTGTTTTTCTTTAGTCTAAAACACCAAACAAATATAAAAAGTAATCAAAAATGACCAAGAWTTTTTTTTTAACTAGCATGAGTAAAACTGAGTAGAAGTTTTCAGATGGCAACCCAGACTGCTACACTATAGGCAACTGGAACATACCCACAGAGTGCAGTGGTTTGCCAGCGTGAGTTTTATCCTGACAATCCCAACTGCTCTCTGCACCACACACTACAAGCTACTACACTCAGACTACACACTTTGCTGCCCATGGTGTTGTGCAAAGCTCCCACCTGCACTGAGGTCAGGCTTGGAACGTAAGATGAACTCACCAGGATTTTATATCATCCTCTCCTCTGTCTTATTTTCCCTTGGTCTAAATACATGCAAGATACTGACTTTGTAAGGATGCTTCTAATTAAGGAAATATCCTGGGTTATCACATTTTGCATTCTTCTGCTCCCACCACAAGCTACCTTCTGCTCCASTGACTCCATGCAGAGGAAATGGAATTCAGAGATGCAGTTCCTGGCCCTTCCTTTTCTCTTTCCCTTTCAGTTTTAATGATAACACACATTAATCAGCTGCAAATTTCTTTCCCATTGACAGTACATTCTGTGTAATGAAGGGGGACAAAATAATAAAAACATGCCAAAATGCATTTTATTTTCATAACATGAAAACCTGCCGATCATCTCACTCTGCCTTGAGCTTCATGGCAAAGTGCCAAGGTCCTTCGGACAGAAATCTGTTCACCCTCCCAACATGACAAGTGTTGTCTGATTTACATGTATAAGTCACCCTGTTTTAAACCTCTTAAGTGCATTTGTGTTCCACAAAAACATAATAAATTTTGGTATTGCTGTATATTATGCCTAAAAGACAAAGGTGCACTGTGACTGCAGGCACTTCATTGCGATTGGTATGTATGTGTGAAGTCAGCTCTCACTGACACGGCTCGAGAACTGCTGGCAGGGCTGCTGCCATCCCTCTCCACTGGGCCCTGGAATATAAGGGGGTGTACAATTTTGGCAAGAGAGCTCCCCATGAATATCTCACAGCAGGTAGCGGATCTCTTCAGCTACTCTATTTTGACAACAATTCCCACGACTTGTGAAATGCATCAACTCGCCGAGTGCTGGGAAGAAGCTGGCATAAGTGTGATGAATCTTCTTTACTTTTTTTTTGGACTAGGATAAGCATGACACACAGAACTGTTTGCTGAATGGGGGCGAGTATGACTTCTAGAAAACACTTCAAAAGGCATTTTTATTGTGTGAAGTTAGCAATAATGTGTTCTCCACCTKCTACTGAGCACCTCCTCCAGCTGACATGTTTTCCTTTGTCTTGCACGTCAGTCTCAAATAAACTGTGAGAATAACAGTTCACTGCTGTTTCAAATGATGGTCTTACACAAAATAGGCACTGAAAAACCCTTGTCAGAGCATGAAGCTAACACAMCAGGTTTACTGCCAAAATAGGGGGGCCTGGCTAGTGAGGACAGAAAAAATGCTTTAAAATTATCTTGTAATCAAATTAAGATTAACTGATTAGCTTTTCATCAGAAAAAGATGATTTTACATGTTAAAGGGATGAAGCCAAGGGACAGTCAATCTCAAGCAGTCAATCTCTGCCAACAACCTGGGCCCTTGAAAACCTGTTAAATTGTCTGCACGTCCATTTCTTTATGTGGGTTTTATGGCAGTCCAATTCATATATTTACACACATTTATTTTATATACACATGCACATACMCTACTGAGAACAAGGAGCAGTTCAGTCTTAAAGCAATTTTGAGGCAATTCACCGACTGAATTCTGTACACAAACATACATATCCAAAAGACRTGTCTATATCCGACTGAGAAGGCAAAGAGCTACCATGGAAGTRCTCCCCAAGGGATTTACCTCCTCTAAATATAAAACCATTCCACCCACAGAGTTTACTGTGCACTACTAAGATAACATTTATATCATCTCACAAGCAATGGACCATCTCGCACCTGCTGCAAACAAGCAGCTCCTGCAGAGTGTCATCTGTTTTCTGCTCTAGTTTTGAAGAACTCATGTCATCATATGATCACAGAGCTACATCATTCTTTGTTTCTTGCTGAGAAAATTTTATTACAGATTCATTCAGGTTCATTCTGGCAATTCTGTATTAGATTTGGTAATTCACCATCCAGTTTTAACAGTCATCTAATAAGGGGCAAACATTCCAAGGGATTAGCAAACTGATAACAAGCTGCAACATAGTGCAAGCTCATTTTAATTTGTGTACCAGCACTAGATAAARACCATTATATTCACATTGAGAAGAYATGCCTTTTACAGAAGACAAATGATTAGCATCTACAAGATACCGGACACATAGAAACGCATATTCAGATGCTAAAGAGAATGTTGCTACAACAGTCTACACTATATATTAAGGCACATTAATATAGACTAGATGCTTTGATCCATTTAGAAATATGTGACCACTTYGAGATACAAACAAAAAATTTCTTGAGTTACTCTTAAACAAGGCAGAGTGCTCATGCAAAGTTTCTGCACAGAAAGAGTTTAGCCATTATAGTGCAATACACATGTCAGTCTATATATGCATAAGTAGTCAAAATACTCTTGATTTGACCTAAATAAATGCCATGCATTGCTAAGAAGAAAAAAAATGTAAAACCTCAAGCCCAAACATGACAAAAAAATCCCAAAACAACCAGCAACGAAATAGATCAGTAAGGAAAAGTCACATTTCTTGGCTATAAAAGCAATGCAAGGTGCTTATTTGAATATCTTAAATTGTTCAAGAACTCAAACAAAATTWAAAAAAAAACAAAAAACYACAGCTACTCCATATTTCATTATTATCCAGTCAGGAGGCAATTCAGTAACGTAACTGTTAAGGACATAAAGAAGGATGTGTTCTGTAACAAGCCTGGCTATGGACTACATGGAATAATATCATGCAATCATATCACAMGCTTCAATGTGCAGCCTCTATCAGGTAAGAATTCCTATCTGTTACAGGCTATATAGAGTAGAAATGCTAAAAACTCCATTCAGATAGCCTCAATTTCAAAATACATTAGATCCAAGAATAAAAATGTGCACTTGTTAAAATTTAAAACTACAGAGAGTCATGAGTATTTTCTAATATAGGCCTACTTAGTTATGAAATTTGCCCCAGAAGTGCAAGAAAGACCCCCCCTTGATTGCTGCTGCTCMTAGAAAAGCAATCAAGAATTCTGAAAATGTATAGCTCTTGGAGTGAAGATTATTAAATTCATTTTAATAATGTAACCTGACTGATAAAAAAAAGTGTTACCCAGTTAATCTTCTGTCACTCACCCCACTGTATCATCATTTAGATAAATTAAGTTAGCAATCTCTATGAAATTCAGTCGGGTTTTTGCTCTACACTGCATCTGGTCAGTTCCTAAAATAGTAAGGAGCACAATAATTCTAACATAAGAAAAACCCACTTTCCTATAATTTACTGTTCCCTGTTGGAGAACAATTAYACAAAACACTATTCACAGGACCAGACACTCAGCCACACATTAAGACATGTGAATCCTTTTCCACCTCCTYTACATTTTAAAAGCAAGAAAGTTTTACAATTGCAGCAGATATTTTAGGACTGAAATTTGTGACTCCTGAGGTATCTCTTCAGCTCTCAAAACCTAGATTAATTGCAGTTGAAACTCCATATAACTTCAATATGATGTGCAAAAAATAACAGCAAGACAAGGACTAATTATGTTCATGTTTATGTAAGAGGTATATATTGAAAGTAACCTGCCACAACACTTGTAGCACACTTGTATAAATTAGACATATAGTTGAGTAYATATTTTCAATAATTTTAAATAATAATAAACAATTTTTAAGCTTTTTTATTATCCATCCTCTAATTTAATCCTTATATTTTCATTTATTTTCTCCATACTTCAATTTGMCACCCTGATACTCAAGAAAACAAAATTTAGAGTGACACCTTGTTATACAGTCTCAAATGATTTGCTAAAGATATCATTGCTGGTTTTTMCTGCTGTTTGAAGTAGATCAATATTTCTGACTAGATATTAAAAATGCTAATGTATGCTAATGCACCATGTCTTCAACTGTCATTAAGACTCACGTAATAATTCTGAAGAATAAGAACACGAATCTGCAGTGATCAGGCAGAACAATTCTATCACCCCTGAGCACAGCACTGGTCCTGTGAATACAGGCTAGCTTTCCTCACTTGGAGAGCCCACAGCTGTTCTCTTGTGCCAAGTACTCTTCCYACTTGTCACTCACATAAGCTCCTTTCAAGTCTCAGTATTGGGGATTGCCATAAGGCACCAAGTATGTGACTGCACATCGTGTACACTTCTATTGAAAACTTGCATAAACCTTTCCAGCCCTCCTAACTGCAAAGCAAGCAACTGGGTGCCAATACAGAAGGTGAGATGGCCGGGACACCAAGCTTGTCCCAATGAGTTCGAGGTTCTTGGGTTGTAGATGCCAAAGAAACACCACATTTTTAAAAAAAAACATAATTGAAGTTGTTTGGTATCTGATCGTTTAAGATAAACAGATTCCACCTTCCTCTGAAGTCAGATAACATCTGAAGCAGGTTTTTCTATCTATTCCCTTTTCTTCCATCATCAGAGTCTTCATCACTGTAACAAASGAGAGCTGTACCCAAGATGGCCTCTTGTTCTCACGTCACCAGATGAGTAATTAATCTTTACTTTGARTCAGCTCTGCCACTATAAGCAACTGAACAATGCAAGATAATTGAGAGAAGGGCTTATTTTTAGCTTTGGCAGATAAGAGTARCTATCAGACTAACTACTTGCACTTTAGCTGAAAGATATGGTGAGCTTCACAGCAAAGTCTGAAAAAAGTGTATGTTCAATTTAAAATACACACAAAATGTATTTCAGTCCATTTCTAATAACTTCCATATACTGTAGTTTCTGTAATTAAAAAATATACCTTTAAGCATTAGCAAACCATAAAGATAAAGGGAATTAAATCYAACCTTTGATCCATAGAGATACTGTGGCTGTGCATTAGGCTGCTTATCCCGCTGAAATTCCTGAGAAAATGGTAGCACGGTCCGAACAAATCTATGTAACAAACAAAAACAAGAATTCATTATTTTTACTTAGATTAGCAGGTGTGCATCTAAATGCACCCTACACTGTATAAGATTGCTTCTGTCTGCATATAAAATCAGAGCCAGACCAGCAGTTTTTCAACCCCAATAAAAACTGGGGAAGCACACAGTCTGCATTGCCCAAAAGCATGGACATAAATCAGTTCAATAGTTACTCCTTTTCCCACGGTGTRCAGGGTCCCAAAATATTCTTCACCTGTACTCTAGTCCAGGCCAGCAAATAGAGAAGTAACTAACAAAGTAGCAGTAGTCCTCACAAGGAGTAAGGAAACTCTTTCTGCTTGCAAAATTAAGTCCTTGAGAAAGACCTACACCTTCAAAGAAGAACATGACATTTCTGTTTAATGCATTGGAGCTTTTTCTCCCAAAATTCACATCAGGAGAAATATGTTAGAATTGTTACCTTTAGAAAAATTCAYGAGGAAGGGTATAATCCTGGCAGCAAAGACATGTTTCAAAAGTTTGATCATACTTGAGTGTGAGCATGAACCAATACAAATCACGTTTAGCTTTACATTTGTATACAGTTAAGAGGATGGCAAGAGAACCACAAAGATATGGAGCACTGCCTGAGACAGGATCAGCCAGGACACTCACAACTCACACTGGTCTGAAGGACCCCTCCCAAGCCCACCTGTGAGCAAGCAGCACAGATTTTGCTGCAATATTCCCTGTTAACTGTGTGTAACACACATTTGGCAGCACCGCAGTTTTAGTGCAGGAAGAAGTTAATCAATACCTTCTACAACACTGGAAAATCATTGGGGGATATGTTTATGAGTTGGAAGGCTACTTTATTTTTTACCTTGATTAAAAAGTATTTCTTGATAAATGGTGCAAAGCTGCACATGGGAAAATGGCAGAGAGAAAACGGCCATTTAAGAAGTGCACATCAAATGGTTGTATAATATCAGGCTGGCTTGAGTGATAACTGAGCAAAATAAATCTATCTAGGATAATGCTTCAGGAAAGGAAACTTGTCTTACATTGTAATGTCATAAGAGATAATTGTATCTTGATCATTTTTTCTTTATAGTATTTACATTTAATCAGCACACAAAATTAATTATTCATTAGTTCTTCCTACAAAGAACACAAACATTCTATTTTTAATACACCCATCTTCTAGCTAAAAACAAAAACAGCTATGCTAATCAAAAATTGCTTCACCCAGACAGATATAAATTGCACCATGTTGCTTATAA